TCTAGGTATCCTCTGCAAATAGTGTGACTGCTTATGACTGAAGAGTGCTGTTTCCGGCTTTAATTCACTCTCTGTCAGGAGGGGCTTTGGCCCTCGCTTGCGGGTTTTCTATCTCGTGTCCTTATAATATTCATAGTAGGGACCCACTGCTTATTGAGTATGTTCAATTGGTGTCTGCTGTGAGCTCTATGCTCAACTTCTGGAGGCTTTCTTCTCATTCAGCCGTTCTTTCTGTTCAGTCAGCTCTTTCGATAGTTCGCTTCTTCACCCAGTTTCTTTTTCGAAGGCCTGAGCTCGTTCTACTGGATGAGATCTTGCCTTCCTGTTAATTGGAAGTTGAGGATTACCTTAAGATAATGGATTCGTTGGTATCTAATGATTTTCTAATTGGTATAGGTAGAAGTTCGTGTAAGTCTACGAGTACTATAGTTTTTTGATGTGTTGTCTATGGGTGAGCCGATGAATACTGTACACGTATGAGGAGATCAATTCGTTCAGAATTATAAAGAAAGGAGAGAAGGTATTCAGAGTAGCTTATTATGCGTTTTTGTCTGGTTGACAATTTTTTTGAAGTACATAGGAATAAACCAGTCACTAAAACTAGATGTAGTGCGGGGTATTATCAGCTTGTTTTACAACAGCTAATAGGACCCTACCCCGGCTACAGATCGCGCGGGGCATGATTGAAAGTAACCACATCATCGGAGGATTACTTCGATCAGAACCAGTAGAAGTTATCGATCCTAATTTCTTGGCGTAAATAATGGTCGCATACAACTCGAAAATGTAAGCTGTCACAAGCGTTGTAGCACAAATCAATAAATGTGGTAAAGAACGCAGGAGAATTTTGTGTCGGATGCCTGACGTTTCAGAAGTCAAAATTGGAAAAGCACAAACTGTGCCTATGACCTAACGATCATCCAATTCTGCGCATGACTGCGCATAGTGCCTCTAGACAACCGGCTAATGTCTAATCAAGTACCTTGTACTGCGCATTTTCTGTGCTAGGTGTTTTGCAGTGTCCCCCCGCCCCCCAACTCTGAATTGAAAGACAGTAATTAGAATATCTACGAGATTCATCATTCCGTATATGAGTAGTTGTAATAAGATGACATAATGCCCGGCAGATATGTTTGATTCCAGTGGGTGCATGAGGAATTCGCCTAGAAGTTCCAACAATAAAACTTAGATGGCGCATCTTTATCATGCATCCAATTTCCATTTCAAAGTTTTCCATTCCCCGAAGGTCCAGCATTAGGGCTTTTCACCCTTCACTGAACGGGCCGAATGATTATCCGGACCGATTATCGACGGTCCTTATTAGTGCTAGCGTGAATACTCTGTTATCATCAAGCGACATCTCAGATCATTTAACCCCATGTTTACTAGTCCTGCTCAATCATAACATCATCTCTTACCTCAAGTACCCCATGATCCACAGAACATTTCCGTCGCGAAACAAGCACGGAAGAGATAACTTCCAATTTGTCTGGTCCTAAATATCATTGATGGTGATAATTGACATGAAAATTGATAGCTGGATCTCACCACACATTCCTTCCAGAATATAGTAGTTTTCAAGCCATAGGCGGTGATTGGTCAATGCTCGGTTTTAGATTGCTGTCTGCCGCGCCGGGCGGCCCGCCCCATTTCCAGACAGTCAGCCTTCGTCATCAACTACACACATATGTGTGTATAAAATATTACTTCTACAGACCATCGGACAAAGACAATGAACTCTTGCCAAGACGAGATGTCTACTTGAGATAAACGATACCACGTATCAACGATGAGACATTTTTTCTAATTTGAAACTAATAAAGCTGGGGACCTGCAAAGATTTTGTGCAGTAATTTTGGCAGCCCATATGAAGTTACCACCTCCAATCCAGAGAAGTTGTGACGGCGCCATATGTCTCGTCTGCTTCCAAAGACATCATCCCCACTCGTTTGAGCTTGAAAGTATCACTATGCTCGGGTATAATTGATCCCCCACGGAAAATGTTTCACACCACTGTCTGTATCTATCCAAGTCAAAGGTCGGCTAATAATGCGCCATCCAAATTTCACTAATTACTTACTCGGATCGACGGAGAAAAGGCTTCTTCGTTGACATCCATGTCTCCATAAACGAGACATGTGTTGTTCCTTGAATGGCTACATGGTCTGTTCTGGTTCACAAGCTTGGAAATGTGTTTCTAGCAATTCTGTTGCGAATCAGCTTCTGCGCATGTTCTACATGCTATAGTTCGGGAGAGAAGGCCGATCATTATGGTGCACCGTATGTGTAAATCACCGGCTAGTTATGTATAAAATAATGGACTTGTGACATCACTAGATCGTTCACAGCAATTTACTTCGATTTAGAGTGGTCTAGACTTACCGAAGATTCTCCACGAATCTACAACATCAAATTTTGAGAGCAAAGGTCTACAATGCCCGTCTCTTGGCGCATTGTGTTTCTAAATGCCCGACCGGTTTACAATGCCCGACACCCCTGCACAAAAAATGGATGACTAAGGCCTAGCTGTGGCGTAAAGTGCTCATCGCCAATGTCTCCGTGCGCACGTCTCCCGACCAGCGCGTTTATCTTCATGCCGACAACCACTTTGTCGCCCGCCCCTCTTCCAAAAACAAACCGCGAGGCCGACCAGCAAGAGTACGGCGCATAATGGGGAAGCAGTGTACTCGTCAGGCTAAATTTATGGGCGCGCTGGAAGTGCCCGGTCGGGTGTAACGCGTGGTGTTCTTGCTTCAGAGGAGAGGGCCACGATGTGCGCATGGTTGAATTTTTGTAGAAGAAATAAATAAAATAAAATATAAAATAAAAGAAAACTTAAATTCGCGATTGAAAATTCCCCAATTGATCACGTGGTAATTTTTAACATCCAGATTTTACATTTAATCGCGTCTTCATTCGCGTACCCTTACGCGCGTGCTTTCCATCCGCGCGTACTTTCATGGGGGTTTATGCTGTCCAAAAAAAATTATTTTATTATTATTGAATTCTAAATTTTTCTGTTAATCGCACTGTGATTATTTCAAGTATCGAGATTTTCCGTCCCCGTTCGCGTGTGTTATTCATTCGCGTGTGTTCTTCAGCCACAAGTGAGCCTTAGTCATCCATTTTTTGTGCAGGGGTGTCGGGCATTGTAGACCGGTCGGGCATTTAGAAACACGATGCGCCAAGAGACGGGCATTGTAGACCTTTGCTCCAAATTTTGATCTTCTCTTCATACATATTGATCGTCATTTTCTATTACTAAGACATGCCTTAAATTACGTAATATGACCTAACCACGTTCTCCACTGCTCATATCATCACGAATGTGAGAAGAAGACATATGTACCAAGTACAATGCAGAGTAGGGGCGCCATTGTGGATTGTGGACCGCGCCATGCAATAATAATTCTCACAAACATGGCGATATCGGCTTTCGCCTCTGGAAAACGATTAGATCCGTCTCCCAGTGACCTTCTTTTTCGATCGGACGGAAGGCGTCTAACATTCATTGCTTGATTTAAGATTCATGCATATCAACTCTTAGACACATCCTAGTTTCAAAACCAAGCGAAATAGTGTCAAAGTGAGGGCAAGAAGTTACACGCTTCGGCACGTCTCGCGCGTATGGAAAGTTATTGTACCGGCTCCCGAGGTTTCCCCGCGGAGATTGCCAAACAGCACGTCATATTTCCAATGCAACCCCGCAAATGCATCCTGAAGAACTGGGGACTTAGAAGAGCTATCGTTTAGTTTTTGACCCTTCAACGGTATATAAAAATTCATCAAACCTGCGGAAACAGTATTCGTCAATCAGCAATCATGTCCCACCTCGATCCCGCAAAGCTCACTGCCGCCGGCTTCCTCCCCGCCGTCCCTCGTAACATCTCACTCCTCTTCAACTGCCCGGCAGACGAAATCAAGTCGGACGAAATCAATGTCGAAGATATCAAGATCCCCTCTACGCCATTGGCCGATGCCATGACCGCATACGTCAAGGCCGCTCTCCCCGTCGCAACCTTCAACCACTCCATGAGAGTGTACTCCTTGTGCATGGCTATTTTGGCACAGCACAAGGACAAGATGAAGTACGACATCAACTTCGACCCTGAGGTTTATTACGTATTCAGCTTGTTCCACGATCTTGGAACCTCGATGACCGAGACTGCGCTATCATTCGAATACGCCGGTGGAATCCGTGCCCGTGAGAAGGTTATGGAGCATGCCAAGGAGCATGGAGGAGACCACCAATTGCTCGCAGACTCAGTATGCGAGGCGATTATCAGACACCAGGACAACTTCTTCGGCGTTGATGGTGGTGATGGTGGAAAGTTGTCGGCACTCACTGCTCTTTCTCACATCACGACCCTGTTGGACAACACCGGAGATTGGTCGCATTTGGTGCACCCCAAGACATATGAGGGTATCGTTGCCAAGTGGCCCCGGGAGGGATGGAGCGAGCACTTCAGATGCCGCCTTGCTGCGGAGGGAAAGAACAAGCCTTGGTGTCATACCACCTTTATTGGTGTTGAGGAGTTCCGGGAGAACATTGGCAAAAACCACTTGAACAAGTATGAGCAGTAGTAATTAACTCAAAATGTATTGTAGCAAATGTAATTGATATCCCACTTCTCTTAGTCATAATTTATGAAGGAACATAATTGAGGTGAATTACAATTGGCACAACTGAGGTGAAATCCCTTTTGATAAAGACATACCCGATTAGAGCTACTTACAACTCAAAATTACGACTATATTTCTTCTTTATCTATGTGTATATAACTTGGTTCGCTTCCGGATGCATTCCATACAAGTACTCCATTCTCCAAAAACACTGTACTTTATGTCTTCAGTACTTTATCTTCGGGGCCAGTGAGAAATCATGACACATGACAAGCCTGTCAGAGACAGACCTGTCAGAAACAAACATGAAGTTGTCAATATGGCTACTAAAAATAATAAGTCTTATATATTCTAAGAATGTTTTTCAAATAAGAACTGGCCGCATGGCCCAATGGCAAGGCGCTTGACTACGATTCGTAATTGAAATCAAGAGATTGCAGGTTCGATCCCTGCTGTGGTCAAATTACTTTTTTTGCTTCACCCCCTTCTATTTATTGGTTTTTTACAAATTCCAGTCTACAGTTTTGATATATCTCAATTAATATTATATAAGTATGGTCCATGTGCTTGCGAAACATCAGCAATTAGTGCTTGGGAGCAGTGCCATGTTCAGATTCGTCAGCCTCAGAGGCAGGAGGCAAGTGCTCTTCAGCGGGAACCTGGTCCGCTTCCTCGTCGTGATGGCTTTCTGCTTCCTCCGGTGACTTCTTCTGTTTCTTTCGCCTCAACATACAGATTACAGCCACCAAAAGTACTAGCAAAACTATGATTATGATAGCCACCAAGATACCCGTAAGGGCTCCAGCTGACATCCCTTTCTTCTTTTTCTCCTTTGTTTTTCCGCTCTTATTTTTGTCTGTCGCCGGTGCTGTAGTTGCGGTGCTTTTCGCTTCAGTTTTATTTGCGCTAGTCGCTGCCGGACTTGCAGCAGTCGTTGCCGAAGAAGGTTTAGCGGTAGCCGTAGTAGTCGCTGCTCTGGGTAGCAAAACAGCGTTTGGTTGATGGTTAGGTGGATATATGAGACTTTGCAATGTGCTCTGGGAAACGGTCATGCCATTTGCGCCGCAGTTTAGAACAATATCGTTTATTGCGACTTCTTGAATTAGTTACCAGCTTCTACGTATTGAATAGGGATATTGTCGTACCTTGAACTTCGCTGCTTGAGCATTTCTGACGAATACACATCAACTTTTCCTGGGGCATTTTCATCGAGTTGATGTTGCATAAGTCGGACTTTCCAATATTACATTGAGCCTATATTTGTTTTAGTATTTAGTGATGGATAAATCTGGAGCTCCATTAGGTACTTACAACGCATGCTAGAGTATCTTTGGCTACCACAGGTGCCGTGAGAAATCCGACGAGTAAGAGCGAAAATGGTGCAAGGTCCTTAAGAATTTTCATGATGGTAAAAGATGAACACTGAATCTGTACAGAAAATATCAGTGGGAATGTGAGCTTTTAATGCTTCGATTTTGTCCAATCTAATGTGGTAAGCTTTCATCGCCGGCAGTCTCATTCGTTATCGTTTAGCGAGTGCATAGTATGACAAAGTAGTGGCGTGTGAAAAACTGCTTGTTGTGTTACTCAAAAAAATGATTTGATAAGCCCTAGCTAGAACAAGCCTTCTCTTGAGTCGTTCCTGCGTCAAAATGCAGAATGCATCAAGTGAGACTGGCCCATAGACCATGCTATTCATCTAGTCATTTATTCATTTGACAAGACACAATCTCATCGCAATCCTCAAACATGTTTGAGGTGCATTAACCATGAATAAGAAAGTGCTAAGGAAAGTGTGTAGGCGAATGTCAGTTTGCTTCGGTTTCATAGAAAATATGGATTACAGCAATAAGACCTTTTTCCAAATTGATGGCGTGCTTAATACTCAATAATATGAGGTATTGTACCTTACATGGGCCGCCTGATATGGATTGAAAGCATAGATTTGTGTAGACATGTGCACAATTACACAATTACATATCTACATGTGTACTCGGGTGCAAAGAAAAGTGCGATGCTGTTTTGAATCACTGCGCCCAACCTTTTTCCCTCATCGAACAAGAAATTCCAAGACAACTACGTTCCATGAAGTACCCAGTACCAAATATCTTTTGATGATTACTGATAAAACTAGTTATTATAGGGCCCATAATTCTATACACTTTCTGAAAAACCATTTAAGGTTTTGGTTGTGCAGTTGTTATGTCCGAATTGTATGGGTTCTCCATACCCAACGTAACCCCCTTGTATGTACATGGAGCGCTTCAGTGCCCATATCCTGTGTATGATTCACTATGCACAGCCTCCTATGGAAAAGTACCTGAAGTTGAGATGATAAGGCAAGCCTACAATAACATGCATCGCCGTACCGCAACAAGGAAGCACATGACCTACCGAACCATAACCCAGTATAAATTTGATTTAGCCGCCGCGGCCGCCGCATCAAATCCAGTTCCTTACGCCGATTTTTGAAGTATGAACAAGGTAATCCACGCACCTGGTGCTTCTCGAATCCTACGAAGGCATGAAATCAGTTAAATATAGCACTGTGTAGTCACGATGGTAATAGGGTTCCTGTAGGAAACTAGTTTAACACTTGAAAACATATTCATTCTGCGCTTTATTCTTTCCGAACTGTTATACAGTACGCTAATGTCGGTTTCGGTTAAACTTTCAGCTTGTCTGTAATCCATGGATCGACATAAAGTAGGCTACTGCGGACTCCGCCTTCGGGTCTTAAAATATCCGCCCCCGGTGCCTGTGAGGCTACGCGCGTACCCACTATGTATGATCTGCAAGGGCTTAAATTCAAAATGACTTCTCGTCACTTGGCTGTGGTCTTCAGACAAATCCTCAATGCATTCATGGAGTCCTTCAGTTCAGCTTCTCGACATCACAGAAACTGGTGAAAAACCATCATGGGGATTAAGTGCGGATGCGATTCTCCCCGAACGTGCAGCAGACGTTGTGGTAAGATGGATGTTGGTCTCTAGGACTCTTTCTCGAAAAATAAAGGCTAAGGGGTGAAGTCATATCAAGGCTGAACCGCTGGATTTTGGGTTGTTGGTGGTAGGTTCAATCGCCACAAATCCACACAGAATTGCACTATGCGTATACTAAGCCAGATAGAAGTTTGTACTATTACATCAGAACCCCACGCTTTCTAAGGCGCACGCGGCAGCCGCCTGTCAACTTCTGGAACGTTTTCGTCGTGAGCAGGAACGCGACTCAAACCACGGCCGTTACTTTGAAGCAGGGAGTTGCGGCGGGACAAGTACGTATGTACATCGTTTAAACTCAAAAATATTTTTTAACGTCGTAGATGAAAACGATATCAAATTTATCGTGTTACCATTCATTGCATACGGAACAGCACCTCCAGCCATCAATGAGCTTCGACGCGCATTACATCCTGTGAGGAGCTTATTTCAGCATCATTACCGGCGGGAATCTCCTAGAGCAATTGAGACCAGAGATAATGAGCAAATATGCTGTAAAGTCCAGCTTACTACGGAGAAGCGCTTACTTGTTGAAGAAGTGTGGATTCTGAGGTTAGATGCTGGTGAGAATTTATGAATCATTAGTAGTATTTATGCTAACAAGACTAAGGAACGGTCATCACGGTCTCGACCTCGGCCGGAGAAGACTTGTGGCTGAAACTGAAACTCTTTAATCCTGTGGATGTAGCGGTGCCGCGACGAAGCATGGAACTCGATGGGATGAGTCTGTTGCTGGTGACGCGGACGAATTCTAATTCGGTAGTGCAGCTGACTAAGCAAGTCAATGCGAGAATAACAGATTTAATTCGCATCCAATGGCATATCAAAGGGATGGTACCTGGTTATTTGAAGTACCTTCTCGAAAAATACGAGGAGCATGTGATTAGGCTTGCAACATGGGTTCAAAGCTATGCTGTGCTTCGAGTAGCATTTAAACCACGTTGGATTATTATCATGGGAAAGAGTCTGGCATTGCTTGTAATGGCCCTGAGAATATCATTATTTAGCTGCATACTAACACAACTAGGCCACTGATAGAAAATGGGTTGATAAACTCGCCGCTGACCTAGAGTCTTTCACGGAGTTTATGACATTACACATTGCTCGATGGCAAGAGTTCGGTAGTACAGAACCATATCTATCATCAGAAGAATTACAGGCTCAATTAGTATCGTTGTACTCGAAGATATTGAGTTATTCAGCACACTTTGTTTGCGGTGCCGGCCCACCACTTGTAAAGAACCTATCATGGAAACAAAAAGTCGATGGACTTTTCGAGGACATTAAACAGCTTGCTATCGTGTTAGAATGGACTGCGGATACCGTCCAGATCAGAGCAAAGGTTTTAGCAGACGCAGGGATACCGGAGGAAACTTGTCGCCCTAAGGGGGTGGAGGAACTAATATTGCTGGTAGTCAACTCACTGGTACCGGAGGATTCTATGCGTACAAGTACAGCTTATATCAGTGAGGTTTATGCACAGTACCTTGCTACAATGGTAAGCCATATACTAGTTCTCCCTCCAAATCTGGGATACTCATACAGGATATAGCAATTCGAAAGCCAACAAGCTCCCTCAAAAGTCCTGGTTAAGAGCATCAACCAAGTTGCCGAAGAGCTCGATGTAATGAGCGGTTTAGTGAAATCTCAGCAAAAAGTCTTATCACGTTTACAAGACGAGAGTAAAGACCCTGATACACTAAATCCCACAATACAAAAGCTCAAGTTCTTTCATTCAGACTTGGAAGAGTACAAGCGTTCCTGTGCAAGGCTAGTGAAACTGGTACCGTATTACCTCTCCTGGCTTTTCTATCACGTCGATAGTGGGAAATTTTCTTGCTAACAAGTCTTTTTTTGTCATTAGACAGCTCAGAATGTTGATATGCAAATGGAACATCACGGTAAAGCAATTTTGGTGTTTACAATAGTCACCATAATATTCCTACCGATGTCCTTTGTGGCAAGTGTTTTCGGAATGAATGTAGCGGATATCCGAAACATGTCTGGTGGGCAGTGGTACTTTTGGTGCTGTGCCTCGGCGATGACAGTATTTACAGTGGGGCTTTCTGTGGCGATTGCTTTCCTGGGAGATGAGACGGAGAAGAAATTCAGAGCCTGGCTTAGAATTAGGTGAAATACAAGCCAATTCAAGACAAATGTTAAGAGACAGGTGGAGGTGCCAGTTGCTCAGAAAAATGGCCCGGGAGGGCCGAATCGGATCCATATCAATCCTCGTAGCGGTTAAAGGAAGATGTTACTCGAACCCCAGAAAGTTGGCAATATATTCCTTAGCGCCACTTTGCAGGTAAAGGTTGGCGACTGGGTCTTTTTCTGTTTATAGCCCTAGCGTATCCCGTATCTCAAAAGTTCCGTTCTGGAACGCAAGGCCCAGAAAATGTTTTACCCGCCAAGAATAAAGTACAAAGGGTGGCTGCATACTACATGACATTTGCAGCCCCGGA